CCTCCTGGGGCAAGGTCCCACTTGCGCAAATTAGGACATTTCGGCCGTTGATTTCGCTATCTACGGTCAGTATCTCTTAATTTGTGCAAGTGGGACCTAGCCCCTGCTCCTGGCCCATGAGTCCGCAGACTGGGGTCTCGCACCTCAGCGCGCACTTGCGCGAGGAGGACTTTCCTGCAGGAATCTAGACGCATATATCTTAAAAGATTCGGTCGAGGTGGTCCTCTGGACGCATATGCTGCCAGATTCAGGGCATACACTCACACTAGGAGTTTCCTACTTATTTTTGGATGCAACAATGGTCAGATACATCGACGGCTTGGGTCGTAATTGCGGCTCGAAACATTGAAAAGTCATGTGTCCTCAAGACGGCCGGCTACACATTTGGCCTCACGACAGGCCGCCTCTTCCATCCGCAGCTGCATGCGCACGTCTACGCGTCTGGCGGCGCAAGATCGAATCCCCCCAGCGGCCGCCTCCTTTGAAATTCCTGTCCTTTCGCTCCTATAGCACGAGGAAGAGTATGAAGTGCCTAACCTTATAGCCCGAATAGAACGTCTGAGTACCCTCTTTCACGGTTTGAACGGAATAGAACGCACGGTCAGTGTCGCCGTGTTGCCCCAAATACCACGTAGAATGAGGGACCGTGCGTCCTAAACGGTAGACAAGGCATTTATATACGACATATATATTGGGTGGGGGGGGGGGGGGGGAATAAGGCATGTATAACAGCACGGGGCGCCGGTATCGATGATCTGTCTGGTAAAAACAAAAAGAAAAAAGAGAAAAAAAAGAAGCGGATGATTGTCAACGTTTTATTCATTTGTATTGATCCGATTGGCCATCCACGGCATTCGGGTATTTTTATTAACAATCACATGGGATGATTTGATTGATTGATGATTACATGGGATGATTTGATTGATCGATGATTATAGAAGTGAGAATCTGTGATGGAAGAAGAGTAATAATCGGTGGACATGATTGTTTCGGGCTCTTTTAAATAATATGGAGCCATGCTATAATAAGTGGAAAAGCAGTTTTTACGGTAAAAAATTCTAAAAATCGAATAATCATTGGGAAATAGTCGAGAGAAGATAGCGTGGAAAATTTTCAGAAAAAACAAAACAAAACAAAAGCTTTTGGATGAGAGGATGAGATAGATGCGTACTACCAAGAAAGATGAAATAGATTGAGAGAAGAATATAGATTTACTTAAAAATAATAATAAAAAAAATCCGTTACCAAAAAGAACAATGAAGTAAAAAACGTCCGTTATAAAAAGTTGGTTGGTAATTATTGGCCAGGCAGTGCAACATCTTCTTTCGTTCCCCCTCCCCCCCCCCTCCCCCCTCCCCTTAATATTGAAAGGCTCATCTTCCATCATTGCAGCTGACCGGCCCTAGGCTTATGTAGTTCTGGGCATCTGATTGTATCTGGTCTGGCATCTGATTGTATCTGGTCCGGATCCGAACTTCAGTTTGTATTTCAATAGTCCAGGGGGGGCGTACCAACTGAGCTAGAAAGACGCATCTAAATAAGCAACGCCAAGAAAGGCTCCCAACAATAACCACCACCACCACAACAAGAAGCAGGGCAAACTTGTGACACTCCGGGGCTATCTTCGAAGGACAGGCTGCGTCAAATATCTGAGTTTCATAATTAAAAAAAAAGAAAAAAGAAATCGCATCTTGATTCGAACGAGAGCTTGAAGAAAATGAAGAAGGAAAGAGAAGGGGGAAAAAAAAGAAACAGGCGAGCTTGTCTTGTCGTTCGTTACAAGTCAGCCTCGATCTGATGATGATTGAGTGATTTCACTGATTGATTGATTGATTGATTGATTGATCAATTGTGCTTCTTGTGCGTACTCGACTGATTGATTGCTTGATTGATCAATTGTGCTTCTTGTGCGTACTCGATTAATGGTGGGTGGGGTAAGCGCTAACCAATCACCCGTTAATTAATGAAGCGATTAATCATTTGCCATCCCGTTAATTAATGAAGCGATTAATCATTTGCCATCTTGAGTGGTCAGTTATCGATCAACTGTTGTTGGAAGTGAATGGAATCAACTGTTTAACATTAATTACCGGAAGGATCGGTTGGATGATTATAATCACTGAATGATTGATGGGACATAAAATGAACGACTTCGCTGATTGATATCTCTGCTTATTGTGCTCCGTTGTTTTATTGATAAGACGTGTATTTTATTGATTGAGTCGACTGACACTGAGTGGATTAATTCGCCGGCATGATTGATTAATTGAACAATTGATTGATTGATTAATTGATTGATTGATTGATTGATTGATTGATTGATTGATTGATTGATTGATTAGAGCGGTTGATTGATTGGTTACATAGATTGGTCGATGCTGTAATGTACTTCAGGGTGGTGCTTGGCGGGAGGGTGCCTGCCGCCCAGCAGGGCGGCCGAGGTTGGCAAGAGCGAAGCGTTGCTTGACCCAGGCATATAATTAATACGTATCATTGATTGATTGATTGATTGATTGATTGATTGATTGATGGGCGTCATTGATTGCGTGGCTGATTGGTTGATTGGTTTGAGTGATTGATTGGCGTGATTGATTGGTTGATCGTGTTGGGTGATTGATTGATAGTGGACCGAGCGTGCAGTACGTGAGAGCGGGGGCTTGGCGGGAAGGTGTCTGGTGTGCAGCAGCGCGACCGAGCTTGGAAAGGAGCGAATCGTTGAAGCCGATCTAGCACTTGCAGGTGTATTCAATAGTGTGGAATAGCCAGGGGCTTAAGTGCTTGCAGGTGTCTCTATATGGAATCGGCAGGCAGGTTCGGAGCGCTTGCAGTTGCAGACTTTGCTATGTAGCAATAGTCAGATGCTAAGCGTCATTAGCCAGGTCTATGTATTCGTACGGAGGGCCTTGGATTAAGCAGAGACGTCAACGTCTATTTATTCGTGCGGTTGCCTGTCTGAAAGGGGTAGTTAGGCGCTCAGCTCACCGCTTACTCCTATGAGGAATAGCCACAGCCAGATGCTAAGCGCTTGGAGGCAACGACGAGTAGACAGTCGTAGGGGCTGTGGGATGCGGCGGCCCGTGTGAAAGAGGTGCGGAGGTGCGCAGAAAAGGGTGGCCAGCGGGCGGAGCTGCCCTGAATGTCAGAGTGCGGTCGGAGGTAAGATGTAGAGGTGATGTGGAAGGGGAGGGTGGGGGCAGG